CGAGACTAGAGAACCTGGACCTTTTCAGCTTCCGCAAGAGAAGGTTGAGAGGCGACCTTGTGGCTGACTATAAGTTCATCACGGGGGCACAGAAGGGAATTGGTGAGGTTTTATTCACCAAGGCGCCCCCAGGGGTTACAAGACATAATGGCCACAAGCTAGCAGAGAGCAGATTTAGATTGGACATTAGGAAGAACTTCTTCACAGTTCGAGTGGCCAAGGTCTGGAATGGGCTCCCAAGGGAGGTGGTGCTCTCCCCTACCCTGGGGGTCTTCAAGAGGAGGTTGGATTTGCATCTAGCTGGGGTCATCTAGACCCAGCACCCTTTCCTGCCTACGCAGGGGGTCGGACTCGATGATCTATTGAGGTCCCTTCCAACCCTAACATCTATGAATCTATAACTAAAATGATAAATGGGTTGGAAGGCAAGCTGTATAAGGAAATGTTGAGAGAATTAGGTATACTCAGTTTGGAGAAAAGGAGATTAAGGGGGGACTTAATAGCAGTTTTCAAATATTTGAAAAGCTATCATAAAAAGAGAACTGTTGGCTTTATATTGCAGCAAATAGATTTAGATTACATTTTAGGAAAAACTCCTTACTGTTAGAGCAGTTAGGCAGTGAAAATAATTGCCCAAGGAAGTTGTGGAAAGTTCTTCACTGGAGATTTTCAATAGCATTCCTGCATTTGTGCTGGGAGTTGGACCAGATGACTCTTGAGGTCCCTTCCTAACCTATGCTTCTATGTAATGAAAAAACAGCCCAAGCAGCAAGAAACAAAACCCAGGGATTCCCTGCTCCCACAGAAGTGTCTATATCTATAGACTATAGAAGCATGCTCCTTCTAATCTGCACTCTTTACTCCAGGAGAGATCCTCATCTGTAGTATACATGTAATGCATCTGTTACCACTGTAATTTCACCCCTGAGTAGCCATTTGTTCAAGGCTAATGGATTCTCTCACCGCCTAGTGGCCAGGTGCTCTAACAACACTAACTTCAGGCAGGCAGCTTGGGAGATCTGGTTGTGCACCCAACTCAATATTACCAAGTTACTTTCTTGAGAAGTAAAATGTCTGTGTTAAATGTCTTTGGAGTAAAATGTGCCCTATGTCTGCAGCCTAAATCTCTCCATTTAAAGTCCAGTAAATGTAGGCATCCTAACTCATCTTTGTAGATTCTGGTTCTGAAACCAAGAGCCTAAGATTTCCATGCCCAAAAGTTCATATTTGCTACACCCGAGTCACTTTTTTTAATATGGATGTCCAAAAGACTTTAAACTCCATACTTTGCAAGTAAAATATTAATTCCATTCTTGAAAGAGGGAGATGTGAGGGAAAAGTATGGGTAAATTAAATGCTTTGTTCAAATGAGAATTTGTGAACAACTTTGAAGTAAAACATCAAGTGGGTTCTCAGAAATACCTTGTCTGGATAAAAATCAGAACCTAACTTACAGCAGTCACCTTGCTGATACAACAGCAATTAAAAATGTAGTTTTTATAGGTGCACTGATACATTGGCCTGATATCAGACCAGCATCAATATAAAGAAAATTGATCGCATCGGAAATTGGCCTGATGTGGCTAATAAATGCCTGTGCGTATGCGCAGCCACAGCGCAGCATGCAGGCAGCGAGGAGCAGAGCCCAACAGCTTGGAGAGCTGCGTGCAGGTGGTAAGTCTAGTGTGGTGGAAGGGGAGAGGGGAGGAAAGGGGTGTGGGGCAGCATATCAAAGCCCTCCGCAGTGAGGGAGGAGTGGGTCTGGGGCAGGGACTAGGGCAAGCGCTGCCCAGCCAAGGTGGGGCAGGTGCAGGATGGAGCCGCAGCTCATCCGGGGGGGGGCGGCAGCTCCCACCACTGCATGCTACTTGTCCAGGAGGGAACAGTGCGGGGCAGTGTGCCCCCAGATCTGCACGGGGCCAGGCAGGACAGGAAGAGCCCCACAAAGTCCCCCTCCCCATGCCCTCCTGGATGAGCCGCAGGAGCCGCCGGACGAGCAGGCAAGCGGCTCCCGAATGAGCAGCACACACTGGTGGAAGCCCCCCCACACACCCCCAATGAGCCATGGCTCTGTCTTGCGTCCATCCCACCCTGGCTGGGCAGCCCTTGCCTCGGCCCCTGCCCCACTCCTCCCTCTCCACGAAAGGTCTTGATCTGCGCCCCATACCCCACACCCCTCCCCACACCTTTCTGATACCAGCCTGGCAGCTTGAAGAGCTGCCTCCCGTTCCACCACACCAGACTTACCAGCTGGAGGCAGCTCGCCACGCTGCCAGGCTGGTATCAGAAATCAGATCAGTATTGGCCAATATGCCTCCTTAAAAATCAGCAATCAGTATCGGCCCCAAAAATCTCTATTGATGCACCCCTAGTAGTTTTCATGTAAAGATGTAACAAGGAGCTTATTGATATGGGCTCAAAGGTGGAAGACAAAATTAAGGTCCCAAAGAGAGACTAGTTCTTTAGGGAAAACATTTTGTCAGATAAGAAAAAAATCATAAGCCTCTCTTTAGAAGTGTGATGGACAGAAACAGCAGACAGACAACAAAAGGAAAACCTTGTCCATTTATCTAAGTAACTTTTGGCTTGGGCTACCCAGATATAAATTCCACCAGTTTTGTACACTGATATAAACTGCACTGAAATCACAAAG